CTAATAGCCTCGAAACTTGGGGAAATATTAGAAAACTCAGAAAAATTAAAATTGTTTGTCCTCTCACCCGACAGAAGGAACTAGCGGTCGTATTTTGCTGCATTTCTTTCCAGTCTTTGTTGCACCACACACACACACATAAATACACCTGGAGATGTAAAAGGGTGTCCTAGTGGGACCTAAACCGGGTCGTTCTGGGTGCCCGGGGGCCTGACAGCGGACCCGCCGAGCCCCGGCCCCACCTGTGGTCGTGGCCGGGCCCAGTGGGAGCTCCACAGATGCCTCCAGGCTCCCCTCCGGCCACCACCCCGACTTCGCACGAGCCCAGACTCACATACGGAAGGAAAGGCCCGTTCCGCAATGCCGCCCCCTGAGCGTGGCGTGGGCTGTCTTCCTCATTCCACGGGGACTTTCTCCTACGTAATAACTTCATGCCACCCCATGGCGATCGTCTTCACGTCGTTTGCGTTTCCCTAAACAGTGCCTCTCACCAGAGGGACTGTGTGTACTTTCAGAGATGGGGGGACTGTCAGGGATGTGCGCCCGGGATCTGCAGTTTTGCCGACGCAGAGATGTGTTCCGCTTTCCCACATCGTTCATTCCGCCAATAGTTAGGCACCCATTGTGTACCAGATATCAGCGAGGGCCAGGACCGCAGCCCTGAGCTGTTCAAAGTCCCTGCCCTCACGGAAGCTATCGTCTGGGAAGACGAGACAAGCAGCACACGGAGAAGAAGAAACACATAATGCACTGTCAGGTATGCGTGTCATAAGGAAAACCAAGAGAGTGATGACCTGAGGGATGCTGTTTGAGATCGTGCAGCCAGCAAAGAACTTTCTTTGTGCGCTGGCTTCTGTGTGGCCGGCCGAGAGCCCATCTGTGAGGACAGTTACGGATGGACGTGCTGGGCGGAGGGATGGACAGATGCAAACGGCCGGAGTCGGGGACGTCCCTGGTGGTTGGAGGACAGTTTGGGGGCCCTCAGGGCTGAGGGAAGAGGGGCAGGCGCTCCAGACCAACGCCGATGGGGTCCGGATCCCGCGGGGCCTGGTAGGTCACCCCAGGGACTGAGGGTTTCTCCGAGTAGGATGGGAAGCCACTGGGCGATACCAAACAGGACAAGGGTGAACTCGACGTTTTACAAAGGTTGCTCTGGCTCCTGTGTGAGGAATCTGAGGGCAAGAACGGGAGTAACGAGAAGGCGATTGCGGGAATTTGGGACATCGGTGATGGGGGGGGGGGATGAGGGCGACAGTGGGCGCTATGGCGACCGCCGGGCAGCTGTGGACTGGTCCGTGAGCCACGGACTGACGGAGTCTGCTGGAGGGTGGGTCAGGGCTACGAGCCGGAGAAACTCAAGGCTTTTGGCTTCAAATGTTTTTTTCCCTTTTTTTCAAGTAGGAGAGAGTGGTTAGCCCTGTGAAATGCGGCTGCAGATTCAGTACCTTCAGTGCCGAGCCTTACCCGTTGCATTTAGCAGCAGAGACATGATCCTCAGTCTGCACATTAGGGATTGGAGCGATCGGACCCCAAGCATGACTCCAGTGGCTTCAGAGGGGGCAGGCTCTCTGTGTGGCAGACGGATGGATGGGACGGAGGGGGAGCTCGCGGGGCAAACCGAAGCCGTCGGTGACCTGCCGGTTCCCTGGTCGGGCGTCGGTGGGAGAGCTCATCAGGTCGGCCTGTGCTCCCCTCACATGGGCAATTCACACGTTCCCGCCCGTGGTTCCGACAGTGCCCTTCCCACGCTTTCCACTGACCAGAGAAGGTTGTCACAGAAGCGGGTAACAGCTCTCATGTCATCCTTCAGTTCTGCTTCCCGGACCTGTCCACGCTCAGAGGTCGCACAGCCTGGCCCACAAGGTCGCCCTCTCTGCATTCACTGTGAGCCTCCTCTAATACCTCTAGGCAAGGTGACGGGCGGCCCCTCCCTTCCTCCCACCCCGGGAGCAGGGCTGTGCGTGGAGACAGGGGTGGGGGGGGGTTGGAGGAATGGATTTTAGAGGAGAGACTGAGCTCTCCTCTAAGGGCGGTCACACTGCAGTCACGCCGGCACCTCAGCGCAGACGTAAACTGCAGTTCATTTGTTTTGTTCGTTCCGCCCACCAGTGCTGCCCGAGCCCTGGATGAGGCCCGAGGGCACCGGCTCTGCCCTGGGGGAGTTCACGGGGACGGCAGGTCCCGGGAACAGGGACCGTCATCGGAGTGATTGACTGGGCTTCCTCCGAACCCCAAGCACGGCTGCTGGGCGCCCGGGCTCGGTGTGGCTCCCGGAGACAGAACTCAGACCCTCCGGCCGGAGGCACAACCAAGCAGGTTCTGTGGGAAGAGTAGCGACTGCTTTGCTGTGGGTGTCGGGCAGCGCTGTGGGCTCTGGCCTGGGCAGTGTCGTCCCCGCCACAGGAAGGTTTGGGCAGGAGTCAGGCGGGATTCAGAGGACCCTGCACGGGTGGGAGTTTAGATCACAGGACTGTTAAGCTTCCTTCCAAGTCCACAGCTTTGGGTTTGAGTCGTTTGGGGCACGAGGCTGATAAAGCCATAGGATTGGTAGAAGATCGGCCACGGTCAAGGTCACTGTGAGCTGCAAACAACAGAGCCCACTCTGGCTGGTTTCAGCAGAAAAGGGATTCGTTTACTAAAACATATTAGATCGCTCACACCACGGGATGCTTTCCAAATACGGTGGAGGCCGAGCTTCCAGAACAGGACACCAGTCCCGCTCCTGCGGCCACTGAGTGCTGGGCGCTGGCCTCACCGAGAGGGACTCTAGACTCCTGGAAATGGTCACATTTGTTCTGATTGGTTCTCCGAGTAACTCTTTGCTTGTGTGATTGGCCAAGGAGAGCTCGGTGACCGTGAGATCGGTGCTCGGAAAGGCCCAGCGGAAGTGCCGGCAGGCGCAGAAGGGGCGATGTGAGCGGGCAGGGAGGGGGCCGTGACGGAGAGGTCACAGTAGAAGTCGCTTCACCAGTTGACCTTGGGGGCAGCTGAGCTCTCAGGAGAAAGGGGGAGGGAGAGAGAGAGAGAGAGAGAGAGAGAGAGAGGGGAGTCCTAGGAGGTGGGGACGATAAGCAAAGGGGAGAGGAAAGTGAGCTACACGAAACCAAAGCCCGTCATGTGTTCCAACTAATTAATGCACTTTCCACACCAGACAGCGCCCCGATGACTCAGGAGACCTATTCGAGTCTGTGGGCAGCAGCCTGGGAGGCTGGGCCAGATGGATGCTAATTGGGTCTCCCAAGCTCTCAACTGCTGACCTTGATTATAATCATCAAAGGAGAGGGACCCTATGCAAAGACACGGCAAGCTTGGCTTTGTACTGCATGGACTTATCACTGTTTCGTTACCTCAGTGAGACAGAGGCCTCAGGACTGTGCACTTTAAACGCAGGCGTACAGGCAGCCCGAAGAACTGCATCCCACGTGTGAGCGGTGCGTGTGGTTGGTGTGCACAGGCGCCTCAAACACGCGTGCTGTGCAGCTTCGCTCTCGCTGTCGAGGACCGTTTCCGGCATCTTCCGTTGACTGCTCTGAAAATTCACTCGTGGTCCTTGTACTGTTTTGCACACTCACCCAGCTTGTTCCCCCTCGGCAGCTGACGGGCCCCTCTGTCCCACCAGAAGACAAAAACCATCAGTTTCATGCTTCATGTCATCCCCTCGGCCCGTGTCAGCCTCTCAGCCCAGATCACACGGGTCTGCACCCCCGTCTTTGCCTTCCACTCCCACTGGGACGCCGCCCCGTCCCGTCCCCCACTCAGGAGGACACGGTCCTTTGGGCCAGAATCTATTGGCCTGTACTCCCTTTCATTGGCACGCAAGTTAAAAAGTCAAATATCGTTGAAGGGTTTTATTAAAAAATCATCCATCTCAGCCCTGGCTGGCATAGCTCAGTGGACTGAGCGCAGGCTGCGAACCAAAGTGTTGCAGGTTCGATTCCCAGTCAGGGTACGTGCCTGGGTTGCAGGCCATGACCCCCAGCAACTGCACATTGATGTTTCTCTCTCTCTCTCTCTCTCTCTCTCTCTCCTTCCCTTCCCTCTCTTAAAATAAATAAATAAAATTTTTAAAAAATCATCCATCTCACATGGTTGTATACCTTTCAACTGTTCTGTTTGTGCTTGGCATTTCACCTCGACGTTTTAAAATAACATGTAGGTACTTTTTTCTCTGACTCATTTATGCAATTGCCCAATACAGTCATAATCATAATCCTCCCTCCCATTCATAGTAAGAATAAATATGCAAAGTTCACTCACAGCTGAGGCATGCAGGGCATATGAGAGCGTTCCTTCAGTCACACAGTTTTTCCCCCGGAGGAGTGACTACTGCATTTTTTTCTTCCTTCCTGGTTCTGAGGCTTGACCTACCCCTCCAGACCGTGTTTTGTTTTTTCCCCTTTTAGCATGCTTTGTAACTGTTGAGAGCTGGACGAGAAGAATCAGGTCAAACAGACGGAGGTGGACGGTCTTCCCTGTGCAGTTCTGTGCTCATCTGGCTGGGGCTGGGCTGTGTTGACTGTTTCTTTTTCTGTGCTGTCAGAATCTACAATTTTCTCTAACGTTCTCGGTTTTCTTCCCTCCTATCGTCTTTGGGTTTCCCTAGGGATGTCCTCCTAAATAGGGCCCGAGGCCTGGAGTTCTTTGAGCTCCTCTCCCGGGTTGGTCCCCGGGAGCCCTGCTGATGTGGTGGGCGCGGGCGTGGGGCAGGGAAACACTCGGAGGTCCCGTGGTGGCGGCGTCTGCTGCTGGGCCCGCGCTGGGCACGTCTCGTCCTCCCTGCCAAGGGCGGAGGGGGCCGGAGCGGGGGATTTCCTGCCCTTCACCTAAGCGAACGTTGGTGAAACCCCAGTTGTCCGGCTCTGGCGCAGTCCTGTCCCTTGAGGGAGCCGAGTGAGTTAAAGAGAACAGAGAGCTGCAGGTGGGTTTTGGGACACCCCCTCCCTCTCCCCCGCAGGAGCGCGGGGGATTTTGGTCCCCTCTCTGCGCTCAGAAGCTGGTAGGGCCCATGGAGGTGGAAGTCACAGAAGTGTGGAGGGTCCCCTCAGAGTCTCAACTCTCGAGCTCGTCCACACCAAATCCGTCCATCACAATGTGAAGTCACCCTCCCGGGGTCGGCGCCCGCGGTGGCCTTGGCCTGGGTGAGCTGTCAATCTCCGTACTACCGCCCTGTCTGTCCAGTTTGGGGGCGGGGGAAGTGCTTCTTCGACGCATCTCAGTGGCTTCTCAACTTGCGCGATGTTTTCTCCGTGTGCGAATGAGCGTGATGGCTTCCGAGCTTCCCACACAGCGGGCCAGGCACCTGAGACCCGTTGCTTCGAACCCCTGGCTCCGGCTTCTCCTTCCCGCCCGGAGTCCTGTAAGACCTCTCTCGGCGAGGGCAGTCAGAAACAGACTGTTCCTCTGGTTCGATCGTTCGTTTGTTTGTTTGTTCCTTTGTTTCCTGGGGCCCTGCCCTCAGAGGCCTGCATTCTCCCGCCCCAGCCGGACGCCCCTGCTCTGAGCTGGCTGCGCCCCAGCCTCCTCGTGCTGCGACCCCGTGAGCCCCCTTCCCATCCACGCTCCTCCGGCCTCCCCGCCTCTGCCTCCTGCTGCCCACGCTTCCTCTGCCTGCTTGCTCGTTCGCACCCTCGTTTTAGCGGGGCCCACGTTCTTACACCTTCACAGAGAAACGTGCTTGGAAAGCGTGCTTTAAAACACCTCTAATGTCTGCACATGTCTATACTGCCATCACACTCGGCTGTTAGTTCGGCGGACTGCAGAATTCTGGGCTGAAAATGGTTTTCGCCCATAATGTCCACGGGTCTCTAATTCTCACTGTTACTGCTGAGAAGCTCCACACTCCTGTGGTTCTTGTTGTTTATTTATTTTTTTCCTTCTGGAATCTTCAGGGTTTATCTTTACGTCTGGGATTGTGAAGCTCCACAATGATGCACCTTACTTTGGGTCTTTTTTCGTGATTGCGCTACAGAGGCCCTTTGAACTGGAAATGCGTGTCCTTCAATCGTGAAGTTTCTGTTTTTCTTTATTCTGTCTCTCGGACTCCTATCAGCGGGATGTTTGATCTCCTTAATTTTCCTTAACCTTCCTCTCTTACTTCCTAACTTTTTTCCCTGCTAGTTTCTAACAGATTTTCTTGTGTTCTAATACTTTTACCGATTTTCAAATTTTATTGTTGCCATCATATTCTTCATTTCCAAGAGGCTTTTCTTCTTCCTCTTGTTCCTGTTTTCAATCTGATCCCGTTCCTGTACCATAGACGCAATCCCTCTCTGACCGGGAAGTGTTGACGACAGGCTTTGTCATTAACACTGAGGAGGTTCCCGCCTGTACCTGCTGCCCCTGGTCTGTCCTTCACAGCGAACCGGTGCGTCACTAGGGCGCGGTCTAGAAAGTGCGGCGCAGGGCGGGGCTGTGGCCCACGGGGCTTTACGGCTGGGAGTCCGGAGCTGACCTGGGGAAGAGCTTGCTTTGCAGAATGTGCCTTAGTCCCATGCCCCACCCGTCCTATCCCCCCCCGACGCTGTCCCCACAGCCGTAGCCTCTTCGCGTCCACTTCCTGGGAGAGGGTAAATGCCCCGTGAGCCGGGGGCGGGCAGTGCCAGGCCCCGTGAAGGGCGGGAGATCGGGGTGGGACGGTGGCTGTTTTCGGGCTGCGGGCTGCCCCCTCCTCTCACGGAATCCCCGGCCGTGAGCCTTTCTGGAGCAACGCCAGGGGCCCAAGGCGCCTTGCCTCTCGTGCACCTGCCCCTGGGCCCACTCACTCAAACCAGTGCTTCCTCACCTCCGTCCCTTCGCAGGCGCTGACCTCTCTGCATTCCGCTGGAAAGACACAGGGCTCTCCTTCTCCTTGTTGAACTGGGGGCAGCTTTGAAAGGAGAGGGAGCAGAGGCATCTGGACCCCAGCAAGGGTGCGCCCCGAGTCCTCGCCGTCGTGCTCCCTGCTTCCAGACGTGAGCCCAGTGAGGACGTGTTCCAGGGTGCGGTGTGTGCAAGGCGGCCGGGCTCTGGAGGCCGGGCTGTTCTGCAGGAGGGCGGGCGCGGCGGGCGGGGGTAGGGGGCAGGATCCCAGCCCTCGGGCCCCTGCCCTGCCCCCTGGAGGTACCGCCCCCCAGAGGTACAGTGAGGTTGGGGGGCCGCAGCAGCGCCCAGAGCCCCTGCCGCCCGGCGTCTCCACTGTCCGCGTCTGTCCCGGAGCTCACCGGGGACCCGTTTGCCGTTGTCTTGAAGCCTTTAGGGAGCTCTCTCTCTCTTTTTAAAGATTTTATTTATTTATTTTCAGAGAGGGAAGGGAGGGAGAAAGAGAGAGAGAGAGAAACATCAATGTGCAGTTGCTGGGGGTCATAGCCTGCAACCCAGGCATGTGCCCTGACTGGGAATCGAACCTGCGACACTTTGACACCGGGTGGTGGGGGAGACCCTCCCCCAGACCCCAGTCCTCCTCCCCTTAGCCTGCCCGCCTCCGTGCGCGCGCATGCGCAGAGTTCCTCGTCTGCAAACTCTCCCTCCGAACTGTGCCAGAGCCTCGCCCGAGCACCCTGGCTCCTGCCTTCCACAGGCCAGCTCCTCGGATGCACGCGTCGCGGCCGTGTTTTCCCGCCCCTCACAGACCCTCGGTGATGCCTGGTACTGCCGTCGGCGGAAGCCCCCGTCACGATTTCAAAAATCCGTTTCCAAACTCACCCAAAAGCCTAATTTCCAGACCAATTTCCTTTTCTCATCGAGTCTGATCATCCCTCCTTTTCCAAATGCTCAGCCCCGGAGCGTGAAACACACATTCATCCCGGGACTTCGGGCCCTGCCTTTGGGGTGTGGTTTTCTTTTTCTTTTTTGTCTCCGTTGCACCCGACCCACCCCCACAGATGGAGCCCCACGCGTGTCCAGGCTCGGCCCTCCCTTAGCTGCTTCTTTCTGGTTGCCCTCGCCTGGTTCCCTGGCCTGGCACCCAAGTTTCTGGCCCGAACCCCCAGCCTGCTTTCTGAGCTGCAAAGAGGTGGACCTCCAATTACTTGCTTAGTATTCTCTTACATCTCGGATGGACACTGGACGTCGGCACAGTTAGCCTGGAATTCATCTTTCATCAGAAATTAACGACGGCCCCTCCTCCATGTCGGTACGTCCACGTGGCAATTCTTTGTACTTTTAACTAAGCTCAAAATATTTATATCCTCACCCCGTGTTCCCTCTCCCTCACCTCCCACGCTGAATCAGTCGTCCTTGTGTTTTGCCTCACACCTTTCCTTTCTTTTTCTTGGCACCTTCCCCACGCTGGGCCCAGGCCTCCCTGCACCCGGTGTCCAGGTGACGGCCGCTGCTCCCGAAGAGACCCTCCAGGTGACAGCCCCTCCCCTCCATCAGTGTTACTGCTGCGTCATTTGGCTGGTTGATACGGTCCCTTCCTTAAAGCAGGGCGAGGCCTCTTGCTCTTGGCCCCCGTGGCTCCACCACTCAAAACCCTGCCATGGCTCCTGAGTTGAGCCAGGGTACGCAGACTCTCACAGATTTGAAGTTCGACTCTTGGACAGTGAATCATTTTCATTTTTGTTTTGCTGGCAAATAAATATGCAGAATAAGAATCCCCCTGGGTGGGAGTGGATGCCTGCCGCCTTCCTAGCTCTTCCCGAGGGTGCTGATGTTTCGAGGTTCTGAACACTTCTGTGGGGCGAGGAGTTTGCTGGCTCAGAGAAGCCTGACACCCTCAGGTCACGGCCTCGTCAGTCTCTCTGGGCTCATCAGAGGTGTGCCGGGTGTGCCGGGTGTGCCGGGGAGGAGGGTGATGTCCGCGCTAAAACTTCCCCCCAGCAACGTGGTTCTGTCTTCTACTTCTCGTGGCACCATCGGACCCACCCGAGGTCACAGCGGAGCGGGCTTGGGCCACGGCCGACCCCGGCACGTAGGTGGATGTCCGATGCGGTGCTGGTGTGGCCGCTTCTCCTTCCTGTGCTCAGGGCAGACGTGGGTAATCAGTCACGGCCTCCTTCAGAACCGGGATGCGGCCTCGCCGTTCTGAACAAAGTGCTCGGGCCATTTCTTACCAATCCATCCGTCCATCTGTCCATCCGTCCATCCGTCCATCCATCCGTTCACTCCACAAGCGTGGGGAACGCCCGCAGCGTGCAAGCGCTGCTCTAGCTGTTGGAGACGCTTCCGAGAGAAAAAGCCAGGCGCCTCGTCTCACGGGGCTTACCTACCTTTACAGTTGGGGATGGAGACAGGAAACCAGTAAACACACGAGATCCTCTGAGTTGCTCACGAACCCGAGAGAAGAAGAGAATAGGGCGCTGGAACAGAGGGCGACCCGGAGTCGCAGCTTTCCATGGAGAGCTGAAGGACGCAGCTCCCGGAACTCGGCTTTTGCTCCAAGGCCTGACTGAGGAGACTCGGGCCGGCCAAGCTGCAAAGAACATTCCGGAGGGAGCTGGGAGCCTGTCCAAGGCCCTGAGGCTGGGAGCCAGTGTGGCTTGTTGCCAGGACGACCTGGAGGCCAGTGTGGCTGGCTGGGGGGGCAGGGAGCGGGAGAGGCGAGCAGCGGCGGGACTCGCTGGCCTGCACTGCTGGCTGCTGCTGGCCCCCCACCCCCCGCCCCCTTGGCCCTGGACCAGCGCCGGGCACACACCAGACCCGTGGTTAACGCGTCGCTGAGGGCAGAGGCTCGGATGCATCAGAACGGCAAAACCTTAATGTTAAAGCCTCTTTAGGGGCTGTCCCCTCCTGTCCTTTCAGTTCACCCTTTCCTTGCACACATAGATTTTTGTTTTACTTTATTTCATATTTCATTCTATTCTATTTGTTTTATCACACAGGCTCTGCAAACTCTTTTTCTTCCATGTTTTGCTTCCCTGTTCTCCTTGTCTTTGGTCCCCTTGCAAGTGTCTCTCAGCTGTGATGTCACCCTGTGAGACTCTCCCAGGCCACCGGCCAGGAGGTCGCTTCTCCGTCCCCCGGGTTCCCCTCACAGCCTTCCCCGGTGTCATCCGTCCGTGCTGAGCACGACAAACTGAAGAACTTGTCTACCGCCCTGTCTCTATCCTGGCTCTCCTGTCCGGTGTTGTCTTGGAGGTCAGTGGCTGTCGTCTCTGTTTTGAAGTCCTGGGCCCCCCCGGGTGGCACTGCATGTGGCTGTCACTCGGCGTTGGGGACGACACCGGGAACTCCCCAGTGAGGCTACGTTTCTGTGGCGGGTGAGCGGAGACCTCGCAAGGTTGGTGATGCGGTGGAGCCCTTGAGGGCCAGCGAGCCTCCGTCCCCGGCCTTGGCCACCGAGGGCTCCCGGGTCCCGGGAACCTGCAGGAGAAGAACTGGTCAGGAGGGGCTGATGAAGGGAAGTGTCGGCTCAGTGACGGCAGTCAGGTTGTTGGAAATCATCACCGTGACAAGTCGGCAGGGGACGTTAAACATTTCCTTTCCTGCAATGCACCGACAACGTCCTCTTTATATGCAAAGCACAGTAAGCAATAACGCTGTTTTTTTTTGTGGGAGAACAAACCCTAGAATGAAAGGCATATGTTAGACGTCGGGAGGTAGCGACGAACGGTGAGAACCCAAATAAAACAGAGCGAACCGGAAGCGGCGGCAGCGGTTGGTCACGCTCCCGGGACCCAGGACCTCGACAAACCTCGCGCTCCGGGAAGAAAGTTCAGTTACTAAATAATCTTTATCGTGGGGTTACATCAACGGTCACCCGGGCACATTTCTGCAGATGCTGAAATCGCTGATGTTCTGACTTAGGGGGATATTTGTGCTTTACTCCCGTCCCCCACCCCAGAGAAACGTGAACTTTAAGTGTGAAGCATTTAGCCCTGGCTGGCGTAGCTCTGTGGATTGAGCGCGGGCTGCAAACCAAAGCATCGCAGGTTCGATTCCCAGTCAGGGCACATGCCTGGGTTGCAGGCCAGGTCTCCAGTGGGGGCCATGTGAGAGGCAACCACACATTGATGTTTCTCTCTCTCTCTTTCTCCTTCCCTTCCCCTCTCTAAAAAGAAATAAATAAAATCTTTTTAAAAAAATGTGAAGCATTTAGTCAACTTGGTCCTTCTTTTTAATCACTGTTCTAAAAAAAAAAGCCTTAAATGTTGTTGTTACCGTTGGCTAAATAAAAGTAGCACTAGATAGAGTCCGCCCTGAGCAAACAGACCATATACACCCATAGGTGAACTCTCCGCCTGAGCTGTCGCACTCTGCACGAGACCCGCGGAGCGTTTCTCGTGGGAACCTCAGCTGCGGCGCAGCAACGCTCCCGTCCCCAGCTCCAGGAGGGGATTCGGCCCTGAGCCTTTGAATCCGGCTGGAGGAGACTGTGACCCTGCACCTGGGTGGTGTACTCTTTTAAATTGCTGCTGTGTCATGTTTTTATTTTTAAAATTTTAGATTCCCTGAAACATATAAATGCCCCACGTAACCATAGCAGTAAATCTTGTTCTAGTCTGAGGGCTTCCTGTCACTAATTGGGAAAACAGATGCTCGCTGCAGTTGGGAGTGTTTAGCAAACTACGGGGGTACATTTCTTTCACTTGCGTGATAAGGGAAGGGATGAGAGGATCTTCATCGGCAACATTTAAAACTTGGCTGGTTTTGAGTTTGTGCGGAGCAGCCCAGAGTGGTCCCCGGGCGAGAGTGGGTGCGCCTCCGTGAGGACCTGGGTCGCTCCACCTGGGTGCGGGAGTGTGGGCACCGGAGGGGAAGGGTTTGTTAGCAAGATCTCGTGTTTATCTGGGCTCTTCACGCGAGAGTCACCCATGCGCCCACTGTCTCCCGTGAGCTTCCCAAGACTCCAGGCTGGCGGGGTGGACACAGCCGTCACCCCGTGATCCGTGAGGACCCCGAGGCTCCTACCTGCCCAGGTCCCAAAGGGGGAGGGAACCCAGGCTCCACACACACCTGGACCCACTCAGATGGACACGGTGTCGCCTCAACTTCTGTCCAAAGGGCTCTGGGGCAGCTGGAAGGACCCCAGCACCCTGTTTTGTGGCAGAAGGAATGGGTGCCTGGTCTAAATCTCGAAACCTTGGTCTTTTGTGTCCCTTTTCCTGTCGCTTAAAAAAGAAGATGAATAATCAGCATCCGTCACTGAAGCTCACCAAGTAATTCCGCAAGATCCAATGAAAGAAGACAGCGCTGGAGTGAAAGGGTGAGAAGACAGCAGGAGGAGGAAGGGCCCCAGGACCGGGCCTGGGGGACAGCCGTCGGGCCCTGCGCCCGGGGACCGCTCTCACCTCCATGCCTTCGCTGGCAGCATCCTGAGTTGCCACCCAAGCCCACCCCACCCCCACCCCCCAACCTTGCCATCCCAATATGACTTCTTCAGCCAATTCCGAATCTGCTCTAGTCACGTCAGCCTGAAGCTTCCCTCGGCCTCCCGGGGGTAGAAAAGAGCGAGCAGGTGTCACCGGGCCGCCGGGCCCGCAAGGCGGGCCAAGACCCCGCGCGGGACTCAGGGAAAGTTGGCCGGCCGCCTTCCCTCCTGGGCCCACACCGGCCCCGCGGCTCTTCCCGCAGCGCGCGCGGATGGGCAAGAGAAGGCGGCGGCGGCGGCGGCGGCCAACTCGTGTCGCCCGAACGTCCTCCGCGGCGCCCGGGCGCGGCGAGGAACAGGTGCCTCTTCTCCGACGTCCCGGATCGGCGCCTGCGGCCCCGAGCGGCCTGTCGCGCTCCCTCTCCCGGCACCCGCTCGCCTCTTGCGCCCTGGTCCCCCCATCGCGGGGCGGGGCAGGCGCCAGCTCGCAGGTAATTATTGCCAGCCGGGCCCGCGGGGGAGAGCGGGGGTGGGCGCGCCGGCGGGGGGCGGGCGGCGCTGCGGGGCGCGGGCATAAAGGGGCGGCGCGGGGCCCCGGCGCCCGGATCCGCTCAGCATGCCGGCCCCGGCCCCGCCGCGCAGCCCGCGGTCGCCGCCGCTGCTGCTGCCGCGGCTGCTGCTGCTGCTGCTGGCGCTGGGCGGCCGCCACCTGCGCGCGGAGCCTGGAGACGGCGCGCAGGTCTGGAGCCGCTTCGCGCGCCCTCCGGCCCCAGAGGCCGCCGGCCTCCTCCACGACACCTTCCCCGACGGCTTCTTCTGGGCCGTGGGCACCGCCGCCTACCAGACGGAGGGCGGCTGGCGGCAGCACGGCAAGGGCGCGTCCATCTGGGACACGTTCACCCACCACCCGCCGGCGCCCCCAGGTGACCCCCAGGCAGCCAGCCTGCCGACGGGCGCCCCGTCGCCGTCCCCGCCCGCCACCGGGGACGTGGCCAGCGACAGCTACAACAACGTTTTCCGCGACACGGAGGGGCTGCGGGAGCTGGGGGTCACCCACTACCGCTTCTCCATCTCGTGGGCGCGCGTGCTCCCCAACGGCAGCGCGGGCGCCCCTAACCGCGAGGGGCTGCGCTACTACCGACGCCTGCTGGAGCGGCTGCGGGAGCTGGGCGTGCAGCCCGTGGTCACCCTGTACCACTGGGACCTGCCGCAGCGCCTGCAAGACGCCTACGGAGGCTGGGCCAACCGCGCCGTGGCCGACCACTTCAGGGACTACGCCGAGCTCTGCTTCCGCCACTTCGGCGGCCAGGTCAAGTACTGGATCACCATCGACAACCCCTACGTGGTGGCCTGGCACGGCTACGCCACCGGGCGCCTGGCCCCCGGCGTCCGGGGCAGCGCGCGGCTCGGGTACCTGGTGGCGCACAACCTCCTCCTGGTGAGTTCCAGGGGCCAGGCGGAGGGACCCGCCGGGGACCGGGCCTTCGGGGACGCCGGGGGCCAGAGGGGCGCCTGAGCCTCCAGCTCAGACGAGGCTCCATTTGAACACGTTTTTGAGGTAACTTAGGAGTCGCACGGGGTGGGGGGTGGGAGGTGGGGGCGCGGGGACTGAGCAGTTGAAGCTTTTCCTCTGGGGCCCGTGGAGTCGGGGATGGGAAGGAAATCCCGCGGCGCGCGCGCGCGCGCGCGAGTGCCCTGAGCGGGCGCACTTTGCAGCCACTTGTCCGGGGGAAATCGGAATCAGTTTCTTGGGTGAGAAGAGGGAGCTCCTTCCTCTGGGTGTAAGGGAATCCCTAGAGGTCGGGTGCGGAGGATTTCCTCGCAGAAGCTGTGGGGAGGAGGAGGAGGAGGGCGGGGGGTTGGTGACAGACGCAGGTGTGTCGGGAAGGTGCGCAGAGAGCGTCACTCTCTGCCCCAGTTTGTGGGGACCGCCCGAGTCCAGGGACCGCCCAGTGGGATCTCTGTTGCTTGTGGCTCCGTTCACGCCGCATCTCCGGGGTTTAAGAGTCTCTGGGCGGTCTCTCTGTCCATCCTTACTTCACTGGACGGGGTGCGAAGGCCCCTATAACCGTCTGAAACAAAGCTGGCCGTAAACATACCCAACCGCGGAGGGACACGCACGGCGCCCTCCCTCAGAGCGCAGCCCCGCGACGCTCCCTCCCAATGGGAGCGAGCATTCCTCTGGGGCGGGGGCGGGGGCGGGGGGGCTCTTCCCCTCAACAAACCCGTGCAAACACCCTGTGGGAGAAGCGTAATGCGGATGGACAGTGGAGACTGTTGCTATGCGGTGAGGAAGCTGTCGTCTCCCAAATAACTCTGCCTCCTTTTCCTGCTCTACTTAGGGTTCAAGGTCAGGACCCTTGATCTGAGGGTTCCTTTATGATAACGCCAGTTGTTGGTACACTTGGTACAGTTATTGCCAGAGACTATTTTATGTGTCATGGACAAACATTTTAATGCCAGTGTTTAAATGTAACTTTTGGTCCCTGTATCTTGGTGACTTGTGGGTCGCCTGGAAGACCTACTTTTAAACTTAGAATTAAGCCCCAGGTTTTGAACAAATGTAAGAAGGGCCACTTCTGCATACTTGTCAGTGAAGCTGCAGCCCATGGGGGCAGACCGTGGTGGGTTATGGAGCTGGCTCAGTGCCCCCAGCTGCCGCGGTAGTGGCTTGGATAAATGGCGTGGCAGCTCCACAGAATCCGCTCCCACGGATCATAAAAGAACACTGGATCTGTTTGAAACTAAAATCGAGATGTCAATGATTTCAGTTGATATATATCTTTTCATGAACATAGTTCAGTGCAACACTAATACACTCTTTCAGTCTGGCTGTCCTTTTCAGGAATCAGGGACCCTGGGCACCACCTGCTTATGGCTGGGGACAGAGCAACCGTGGGGAGAACCGGCCCCTCTTGTGAGGAAGACAGGAGCACATTTCAGTCCACACCAGAAAAAAACAGTCCGAGGTTCACGGGCAGCTGGGGGACCAAGTAGACCACTTCCGCAGACTCAGTCCTTCCGGTTCAGATCACACGGGTTACACTGTTAGGGTGCGTGGAGTAAACTCGGTGTGTTTGCAAGTCATCAGTTGCTATTTTAGTGACTTTCACGATTATTTCATTTGGAAAATAAGGAACTGGGACCTCAGGAGCTTCCTGGGACTCTGGCGTTTTATATCGTGCACATGCTTTTGATTCCTGTGCCCATTCTCAGCACTTTGATGAGATTTTCAGCTATATTTTTGGATCCTTACACACACACACACACACACACACACCCTTGCCAAACACTAACCACCCTTCCCAGAAATGCAGTGGACTTTGAATTTGTAAGAAATCAGTGACAGGTGGACACCGCTTTTGCTGATACCGCAAACAAAATGCTGATGGCTGTGAAACATTAATTTTGCTTCTAAATTTCTCTCGCTTGGAAGTGAGTCGTTTTCGTACCTTATAAAGTCAGTGGTCATTATCAAAGGATACTTTAAATTCATTTTTCTCGAGGTGCTTTTCTTCTGTTTTTTCGTGGTCTTTCTTGGTGCAGTGTTGTGGGGAGGGGCATAAGGAAGCTCTGACCTACTAGAAGAGATAAGACATACTCTGCGGGTTTTGGTAATAGAACACTTCAGCCCAGGGTTTGATGTTGCTGTTAGGGGCCGCTAAGCTCCTCACGTGGTCCTGTGCATTTGGGGTCTGATGCTAGACAGGGACTAACGTGTCCCACACCCCTCCCCCGCTGAGGATACCCCCTGGGGACACTAGACATCGACACCTCTCCTGTCCCCAAAGAGATTTAAGTGCCCTTGTCTGGTGGCCAGGAGGCCAGGAGGCCGGCCAAAGGGACTCTAGGAAGAGTCATGGGTGCTGTGCTCAGAATGGGGGTCTCCATGCTCTTTTGTGGGTTCCTGGCACTGGGGAAAACCTTGACAAAAAGAGAGAGGGAGGTGGAGGGAGGGAGGAAGAGAGAGAGAGAGAGAGAGAGAGAGAGGGAGGAGAAGGAAAACACGGGACTTAGAACTGAAGGCCTTCCAGGCTCCGGGGGCCCAGGTGCTTGCTCACCTGAGTCTGCCCCAGGGAGACAACACAGCTCGCTCTCTGACTTGAAGAGGGACCGCGTGCCGCCGCAGCTCTCCAGAGATGGCTCCTGAGGGCCCTGGGACAACCAGCAAGGAGCCCTGTGGTTGGGAGCTCAGCCCCGGCGCCACCTCTGCGTGTGCGCCCTGCCCCTGGGGTTCTGAGTGGCCCGGACTGAGCTGAAGACAGCTCCGTGCACCGGGGTCGGCGGGGCCAGGAGCTACTACTTTGCGCGAGCATGTCTGGGACGAACAGGACTGGTCTGAGCGCCGACCTCCACGTGGACACCCGTGCCCACGTCTCAGCGGACCTGTCCGCGGCGTGTGTCCAGCGCTCTCCTCTCTTCCTTGACGCGCCTTCTCAGCCTGGCGTCCGGAACCACTCTCTCCTGCCGCTCCTCTCGGCTCCCTGGCCAGAGCGTCCCATCCCCTTCGCCTGGGCCCCCTCGCCCGGCCTCCTCCCCAGGACGTCACACTGGGGCCTCTTCTCTGGACTCACCCCCGCTGATCTCTCTGAATGCTGTCTACTCTCCCACGGCGGCAGACGGGGAGTCTCCAGCCGTCACTTCTGCCCTGCGCTCCAGACCGCCCAGGTGTCCCCTAGGCCCGTCACATGGGACACGGCCAGACACAAACTCCTGTTCTCCCCCATCTCTGTTATGCCCACTTTGTTCTTTCAGTCGGTTGAGCCCCCAAATCTGAACTCCTTCCTTTCTCTTGAGTCTTCTTTTCAACCCGTCAACAAGACCCGACAGCTCCAACGGCCCCGAAGATGGACTTGGAATCCCACCACGTCCGTCCGCACCTGAGGCTGCAGCGTGAGCAGCACTGACCTGAGTCTTCGGAACTGCTTCCCGGCGGTTGTCCTCGCCTCCGCCCTCACTGCACCCCCCCCACCACACTGCCCCGTGGACCGTGACAGAGAGCCTCTAGGGTATTGTTCTATGTGAGCCAGACAGAGCCCCTTGTTTGTGAAAACCCCACCTTCAAGAACCAGCTAACTGGGCCCGCCCCGGAATGCTGGTTCTTCCCCCCGTGGACTCCCGCAGTGCCGCCTTCTGATGTCCCCTACCTCGTCGTCCCCCACACCGAGCCCGGGCAGTTCCTTAAGTGAGGAGACTGTGTCCTCGTCCTCTGTCTTAGAATGCCGTCTTGCCCTTGGTAGGTGCTCGTGACCTCTGGCTATGTAGGGGCCCGACCCTCCTTTATAAACGGTGCTCTAGGGCTCACTCTCTCTGTCGGCCTTGCTCGCTGCTTTCCGGTGGGAGGTACCGAGTCCCAACCTTGGATAGGAAGGGCGGGAAACATAATGGGGCGGAGTTTGACATTTTCAGTAAAAATGGAGGGTTCATCTTCCAATTTATGACTCTGTTGTAAAGATTTTCAACCCGTTAAAAACCGTCTATAATCACCATGGACACCGTGAAGAAGTTTTCCGAATGGGAGGGGGGGATAGTGCCCTGGCTGGCTTTCGGAGCCTGTGTGGCAAGTGGCTTCATGGTCGGGTTGACTTTTCCCTCCCCCAGGAATGGGAGAGGCAGTTTATCTACAGGGTCCGTGTGCTGAAAAGAGACACACTGTGTGCTTGCGGGGAGCGCTGTACCCATTCCCCTCTCATTACAATGCACTCGGTACATGGGCGGAGCACTCACCTGGGTTGAAACAATGTGTTCTTTTAGAACAGTACTGAATTCAATCGTGCATTTCATCAGAAATAGCTAACATATCTCCCAAAGAGCTTGACTCACTTCTCTTCGAGTACCTGATTGAACATAGCGGTTGCTGAAGGTCACCGTCAAGTTCGAGAAAGAAAATTAAGAATAGGGAGAGAACTAATACAACTATTTTAAAATCGTAGCGACGCGTAACAATGTCCATTGTTTCGAGTTGAAGAGAAGAGGGAGAATGCAGACCACTCAGCATTCAAATGGCAGCGTGCACTTCTCACGCACAAAATGAACGCACGCGCAGCCGCACCGCCTGGGTGTGCGGTTAGTCACGGCTGTCACACGTAGGTGTCTTCTGCGCCATCTTCAGTTCTCAAACAATACGATTTGCTCTAAGCCAGAATTTTAGCATAAATAATTCTTACAAAAGGTGCCTTTCCTTTTCAACGAATTCTGTCTTTTAAGGCGTAAAGGAAATGCGAGCTGTAGGAGGAGAATAGAATGCATACCTATTGGGGAGGCAAGAAATACGGAGTGCGTAAAAATATGTGCCGTGCCGGAATCTTCCAAGATCGAGTCTTCTCAGGAAACTCCGAGGTTATGTTTGCAATCTCTGCTTAAACAGATACGCATAACCTGCCTTTGGCTTCCTCTGTCCTGATGTATTCTGGGTACGAAGTTAATGCGAAGGAACAG